ATTTATTTTCTATTGTATTTTAACATAGATACATCACAGGGCAGCAAAAACCCACAACATTACTTGATGAGAGGCAAACATTTACATGTGTACTGTTGAGAATCTAAGCCACTGCACTATAACTGTACCATCACTCTTGTACTTTATCGTACCAATGCTCACATTTTACATTGTGTTTATTTGGACGTTACAACGAAACTTGTCTACATCAAATGCATGTTTAAATTGAGACCCATTTTTTCAGCCCCTCCCCAAAAAACGAACCTCTGATTGAACTGAACAATTTTTGTTCTTGGCACTTCTGATCACTTTCTCTGCTCTTTGGTGTTCAGTGCAGACAGGTATCACTGAAATACCCTTATAAACTGACCACTTCCTCTGCTCTTTGGTGTTCAGTGCAAACAGGTATCACTGAATGATCCTTATAAACTGACTACTACCTCTGCTCTTTGGTGTTCAGTGCAAACAGGTATCACTGAATGACCCTTATAAACTGACTACTTCCTCTGCTCTTTGGTGTTCAGTGCAGACAGGTATCACTGAAATACCATTATAAACTGACCACTTCCTCTGCTCTTTGGTGTTCAGTGCAGACAGGTATCACTGAATGACCCTTATAAACTGACTACTTCCTCTGCTCTTTGGTGTTCAGTGCAGACAGGTGTCACTGAAATACCCTTATAAACTGACTACTTCCTCTGCTCTTTGGTGTTCAGTGCAGACAGGTTTCACTGAAATACCCTTATAAACTGACTACTTCCTCTGCTCTTTGGTGTTCAATGCAGACAAGTGTCACTGAAATACCCTTATAAACTGACCACTTCCTCTGCTCTTTGGTGTTCAGTGCAGACAGGTTATCACTGAAATACCCTTATAAACTGACTACTTCCTCTGCTCTTTGGTGTTCAGTGCAGACAGGTATCACTGAAATACCATTATAAACTGACCACTTCCTCTGCTCTTTGGTGTTCAGTTGAGACAGGTATCACTGAAATACCCTTATAAACTGACTACTTCCTCTGCTCTTTGGTGTTCAGTTGAGACAGGTTTCACTGAAATACCCTTATAAACTGATTACTTCCTCTGCTCTTAGGTGTTCAGTGCAGACAGGTTTCACTGAAATACCCTTATAAACTGACCACTTCCTGTGCTCTGGTGTTCAGTGCAGACAAGTGTCACTGAAATACACTTATAAAAGTGACCAATTCCTCTGCTCTTTGGTGTTTAGTTGAGACAGGTATCACTGAAATACCCTTATAAACTGACTACTTCCTCTGCTCTTTGGTGTTCAGTGCAGACAGGTATCACTGAAATACCCTTATAAACTGATTACTTCCTCTGCTCTTAGGTGTTCAGTGCAGACAGGTTTCACTGAAATACCCTTATAAACTGACCACTTCCTGTGCTCTGGTATTCAGTGCAGACAAGTGTCACTGAAATACACTTATAAAAGTGACCAATTCCTCTGCTCTTTGGTGTTTAGTTGAGACAGGTATCACTGAAATACACTTATAAACTGATTACTTTCACTGCTCTTTGGTGTTCAGTGCATACAGGTTTCACTAGAAATAAATAGTGTCTTCAGTTTTCTTCAGTTTAGGTTCAAACTAAAGTCATTGTTGTACACAAGAAAAAATATATCGTTATCTAATTGAAACAGACATACTACTATTTACATGCTACAAGGCAAACTGTGGGGAAATTCAACAAGACTGAAATGGAACCAAACATAGCAAAACTTGTGAAGCATTGCCATTACACAGTTAACCAAAATTAATGTATCATATTAGTCAGCAAAGAAACAATGTGCTTTATTGGCTACACTGTAATACTTTCTTGACATACATTACTTGTACTTATAGGCCGGTGGCCTCTGTACCTTGAATAAATAAATAAACATTGTATATATTATTTTGTTCAGCTAGCCAATAGAAGGATATGCTACTAAGTTTCATCTGAGGGTGGGGACAGGGACGGGGGTGGGGGTTGTGGTAGGGTTGTGGTGATGCACAGTTTGTCATACATAGCAGTAATGACATAGTGTTGTTATTGGTAAAATATTTAGTGTTAACTGAAAAGTGATATAACATGTATGTATGTATGTTACAATATTTTCTCTATTGGAAGCACATCTACAAAAAAAAGTGTCTAAAAGCCAAAAATTACATTAATAGATTATCAAAATAAAGCTTTTTATTCTATTTAAGCACATGCACTACTAATAGAGTAAATACAGTACATACCAGTACTTGGCATATTATACTTGATCACAAAGACAACCGATTCAGTACAACAACAATACAGTACAAATACAACAAATATGCAGTTTTATTCCTAAAAGAATTGAACAGTTCACAATAGTATGAATTTATGTGTTCCACTTTGAGAAGTACTGGCTACTGTAAAATACTTGAATTTTAGCTGGAATTAATTTTCACTGATTTTGACAAGTTGAATGTAAAATATAGGGGAAAAGGTATAATTGCTGGATTTTATTTTCACTTAATGATTCCTCCAGTGAAAAAATTAATTCCAAGCAAAAATAAAAGTATTTTACAGTATACTTTTCAGTGTATGGATAACATAGAATTAATGGAAATTAACGACACATGGGGTAAAACTATGCACAATTCATGGGGAATCACTCAGGTTTCATTTTGGCTTCCCCATTTCACTTTTTGTTCAAATTTCTCCAACGCTTGTGAATCATATATGTTGGTCTGTGGACGTGCTATTGTTTCAATTTTCTAATGGAAGCAGGAATTCAGAACAAGAGCAATATTACCTGCATATTCAAACCTTCAATTTTACATTATCATTGCAGAGTATAATTTCACTACTTGTATAAGAGGCAGGCAAATATGTTGTTCACTCATCCTGATGTAAAAATGCATATTTGTTTTTTAAACGATTTTCTACCAGGCAAAAGTTAAAATTATTTGCAAAACCGCATATGTACCATCTGCACTGGCTTCTTCCACAGACTCGCCAACAATGTTTCAGAGAATTTATTCTTGCTTCTTGGAATGGTCTCAGACATTTAATGCCACTGCTGTAACTCCTGACTTTTGTATGTGGAGACAGGCATGATAAGCAAAAATTAGCTCAACAAAAGAATAACACAATCTCTTCAGCCAAGATACAAAATATTTTTTTTAAATATCATCTGATGCACTAATGATTAAAATCATTGCTCTGTATGCAATAAACATGCAGCCAAAAATATTATATTAATTTATATGCAAAACAGTTCATTGCTTGTTCTGGTTATTAAAAAGATTTGTTCAAATAAAGTAGTCAACATGTTTCTGTTTATTATTATTATAAAGTAAATTTTAGTTGTAAACAGTGTTTACTTTGTCATTGCTTGATTTGTGTCTATTTCTCAGACGTAATATGATTCAATCTTTTGAGCATTGGTACCGAGACAATAAATAAGCTTACTTTTGCACATCAGTTTGATTTGCGATTTAACCCAGTATGCATATGACGCAGTTTTGTAGGGTACTTAAGCAAATCTATTTTAAACTTTTTTCAGCAGAGTTGACCTTTGTGGGATACTAGTACATGGCAAAAATGTATACACTGCATTTTTCAACTATTGCAAACATAAAACCTTCAGCAATATTTGTACCCAGCGAGGAAATCCTTTTTATCACTTTTAGAGACGCATCTCCAAGCTACCTTGCAAGTATCCCTCAATATGTAGAATCCAATAAGGGAATACTTTATCAGAGCAATCTTTATTTTTAGTCAACGGAGATGTGTCTAATATGAAAATTAACAATATACTCAGCGTTGGTTTTCTGTACAGAGATCGCAAACGGTTCGTAAGGATGGAAGGTAAAAGCCACTAATCGTCTCGCAGTAGGTGGTGTTGGTCGTCCTAATACACCAGCATGTATCTTGAATTTTAACAACCCAGAGTCTCGTGCATAAAACCTACAAGTTGAGCAAAAAGGTACATTGTAAGCAAACAATATGTAAAGTTAGCCAGTTGAAAAATCTGGATGTGACTGTGGTAGGGCATGCACGTGGCGAGGACACAGATATCCCTATTCACTAACAACAGATTTCCTGTGGGATAACTAGTAAGCCAAGCCAATTTAGTCAGTAAGTCTACTTTTACAAAATAGATGGCAATAAACATGTTACAACACACACCAGAAATATATTTATAACCAGCTCTGAAGATGTTTATTTCTAATCAGTAAGCATGTTTTTAGCATGATTAACTGCTGTTTTTCAACTACTGCAGAATAATTTATTTTTGCTGGAATTAATTTTCGCTGAAAAGGCTTTTTGGGCGTTTTGTATGGAATATATTTTCACTGATTTTTGATGAGTTTAATGGGAAATATAGGAAAAAAAGTATATTCGCTAGATTTTATTTTCACGGAATCATCCCTTCAGCGAAAATAGCGAAAATAAATTCCAAGCGAAAATAAAATATTCTACAGTATGACGATTCTTTTCATTAATATTGTGATGATAGCTGACAAACATGTTAGAATCAAGTCGTTTTAGTTGTCATACTATTGTCTCCTTTTTAAACAAAATCAATTCTTGTTTAATTCTTACTTTGTTACAGTCACATGTATGTAGTCAAAATCTAAGTACAAAACTGACATGTTTACAACCAGTCAGTTTAGGATGTTTTAACATTATTGGTCCACAAACTGACATTGACATGTTAGAAACATGTCTCTCATATGTATTGGCAAATACTAGCAAGTATACAGTAGCAACAACAAGAAACAAATTATTCTCCTATCCTATACTCACAAGATTAAAGATTTAAAGGAAACATTGAGCCAAATAACATAATGACCCCTTAAGAAAAAAGCTCCACAAATGTAGTAGAATGCAATTTACAGTTGTTGTTTTTATATCACTTTTCATTCTCTAGATATTCAACTTTTCATCAGTATTATGTAGTCAGCCATCTAGATTTCCAAGCAAAGGATTATGGGTAAAGTATGACATCATAGAAACAGAACTGAAATTATTTATTTTTTTGTCTTTCTACCAAATGCTCAAATTTCCTTATATTGTATGATATATTACCTGTTGACCGCAAAAAGGGAACAAAAAAGTATCATTCTATATTCCACACCTAAATTAACGATTTTTATTTTTTTAACGTTTTTAGCAATATCTTTACTTTATGTGTATTTTTAATATTCTAATTTCCATTACTATAATTATATACATGAGTAATATACACAAGGAAAATCTGAACTAATTCGCATCAGTATTTTTCATGTTATGTTGTTTGGCTTGATGTTTCCTTTAATTTAGATCTTTACCAGAGCTGACCTAAGAGTAAACTGAGCATGTTTGGCAAATGTATATCCCTCCAAGTCCTAGAGGGCATCATGTAATCTGACTACGCAAGGCGTGCACCTGTAATAACTTCCAGAGGTCACAATGCTGTTTGCCAAAATGCTCTAGCTGAATGCATACCCTTCAAAATATTCAATATTTTTTTCACAATTTCAATTACCCTGGGTAATCCACAGTCGTTTTTGAATTGTTTTGACCTTGATTTGGTGCGCTCTGAATATCAAAACTCAGGTCCAGCCATGCGAGACACTAGATTACGACAATAGCATAAAAGCTTTATACCCAAATGACTATTATTCAAACAATCAGCCAGTCTGCTAATATTATAGCTTTGCTGTATTCATTGTAGTTAGATAGTCAAAAATGTAAATTTTTACTGAAAATGCCAAAAATATTCACTAGGTTAGACACCTAGACACCAAATAAAATCGAAAATATCACTTTTTACCAAAAATGATGGAAATATTCATCATCACGAAATGAACATATTTGAGAAGTCCACCCAAGGTACATATATACCAAGCATCAAAGCAAACAGAATTGCTGTTCACAAAAGAAGTTGAAAACGTAGATTTGAAGAAGACAGACATCAACGGACATTCAGTAAACAGCTCCGCTCTGTCGACTAAGTCAACAAACAGCAGAGCTAAAACTGTGTAGAATTTAATGTGCTATATAAGTAGACCATACTGTCCTAACCAAATATTGTACATTTCAGGGGATGGTCCTTTTTTAGCAGCATATCACAAAATACATGTACAAAAGAACCCTGTCTTATATAAACTTATGAGACAATTCGTTCCAGTAAAAGCGACCTATCCTCTGGGCAGGACTACGTCACAAGATGTTCCACAATGCTAAGATGTGCACCACTGTACTATGCATTTCTATGGGCTTTGTGCAAGCTGCTGTTGAAT